TGTGTGTGTGTGTGTGTGTGTTTAGCTGACCATGTGTAAACTCCCCTATCTACAAGCCGAAGCCAAACAGCGCAGCCCGGTGCACATTTCCATTGTTCTCCGCTTTTCATCGCTTTGTATCAGTCGATCAGTGAGCCCACTGTGTAAGGATAGTGTATGTTTTGTTTGTGAGTGTGTGCAATAAGATCAGCAACGCAAGTGAGTACATTGTTATTTTAACGGTATAGATTTAACTTCTCTTTCAGCTGGGTCTTGTGGTGTTTTGAGAGCAACACTAGGTTATCCTCACTTGTTTGTTTTTTTCTCTCAACTGTTTCGTTCTTGTTGTCTTGCTTTTCCCTTAAATGACCGTTACTACGTCGATGAGCTTCTTTTCTTTTCAAGCCTAGATCTAGCTAAACCCTGTAAGGATGAGTGTTCAACATCCATTCCCATTGAAGGGGTGTATTTCGAGTTCGAGGGCCACAAAACTTTCCAAACAATTGGATATCGGGAATATACTTTGGGGATTTGAACCATGCTACACGCACATATTTGACTGCTTATGATATAATTTTTCCTTTTTTTTATGTGCCCTTGGCACACGCAATAAGTGTTCTTTTGCAGAGTCCGTTTTGTGCTGCACTATGATCTCAGACATACACAGTGGTGTAATTTCCAATTGGAGACAACCACTAAAGTTCGGGAAATGCGATACCTCGAACGAGTGGAGGATGTGCGTGCGGGATAAGTAGGGATGGGGGGAGGGGGTATATTTTAATGTCAATATGTATCAATTTGTCGAACCAGTCAAATTTTAGCTAAATCAAATCATCCTACACATTTTAATAAAATAAATGAATAAACTTTTTTTTAAAAACCAATGTAATTAAATTATAAACTAAATACATTGGTGTCCGCTTTACACAACTCCCCTGGAAAGCAGGCAAAATGGTTGCTGCGAAGTTGGCGTTGTTGATAATTGAATTTTCCACAATAAAAAAAGGGGGGGGGGGTCACTGTAAGCTTCGTAGATAATAAAGTAAGCTTACCCCAGTCACACATGCGCATGGATCCTAATCACTGAATGTGGTGATGTTATTTTGTCAGAAAGTGAGAACATAATCAGTGTTCAAATTCTGGACGGTAATGTTAAGCACAGCCTAGACATTACCCCTCAGACTCTTAAGGAGGTGGCTCTATTGGCAAGAGGGCACATGATTTAAGTTGCTGTACTCAGCGTACTGCTTTTGGCCTGGACAGTTGTTTTGAGGATACTAAACAAAAGAGAAGGGAAGCACACACACACTGACATTACATTACAGGTTAGTGTCGAGGTTCACAATTTTATCATCTTTTATTTTTTGTAAGTGTTTTACGGCGCTCGCGACTTCATAAGGTCATATGAGCGTGCAGACACATTAAACATTTTCAGAAGGTAGGACATTTTGAATTTTGCCCAGGTGGCGGCCGAAGCCTACTCTTATTGAATTTAGACCACCAA